CACTCCCAAGATGTTAGATTTATAGTTGAGCAAAATGCACCGTAGGTCCATTAACTTTTGGTCGTGTGTCACATAGGTCCATCAACTCTCAAACTGCATTTTTTGGTCCATTAACTTTTGGTAGTTTGTCACTTAGGTCCATCAACTCTCAAACTACATCTCTGGGTCCATTAACTTTTGAGTAAAATGCACAGGAGGTCCATTAACTTTTGAGGAGGTGTCATCTATGTCCATCAACTCTCATACTGTATTTTTGGGCCTCTAAACTTTTTAAGTGGTTCACCGGAGCTCCATACCCCTTCGTTTATGTCTGTATTTTACATAAACCTTCCTCATTTTTTTTCGTTCCCATGTTTCCCCGTCCTTGTATAGGCGGCGCACGTAGCTCGTGTTGCTGCTTGACTAGGACTCCGAAGAAGGCCCATATCGAGCTGTGCTCACGCATGAGATCAGGTCGCTAATCCTGCAGCTGGCGAGCGAGCGCAAGGCGGCGGCGTGGCTGGCGCCAGCACTGGGCCGCGACTTCATGGGCTCCATCATCGATAGCAGTCAGGACAAGCCGCGCGCGGATGACTTCGTGGTGGACAACTGCAAGAACATCTACTCCGCGGGCCACGAGACGAGCGCGGTCACTGCAACATGGTGCCTCATGCTCCTCGCCACATGCCTTGGCCAAAACTCGATGATGGACTTGGGCACGTTGTGGTCGTCCAGCACCACGTCCTTACAGGAATGAAACAATTCGCAAGAGTCCACGCTACGTGCGCTGCCTAGACGAGGAGGGTGGAAACATGGAAAAGAAAAAAATGATGAAGGTTTATGTAAAATACATACATAAACGAAGGGGTACGGACCTTCAGTGAACAACTTAAAAAGTTTAGGGGCCCAAAAATACAGTCGGAGAGTTGATGGACCTAGATGACATCTCCTCAAAAGTTGATGGACCTCCGGTGCATTTTACTCAAAAGTTAATGGACCCAGAAATACAGTTTGTGAGTTGATGTACCTAAATGACAAACGACCAAAAGTTAATGTACCCAGAAATGTAGTTTGAGAGTTGATGGACCTAATTGACACACGACCAAAAGTTAATGGACCCACGATGCATTTTGCTCTTTATAGTTTAATGAGCATGGACCCTAAGTGGTCGAGGTGGAACTGATTGCACGTTGCGGTTTAGCTCAGGACATGCAAAATGGAGGCTCCACGAGGGGATGATGGTTAGAGGGGTATATGGTGGTTGGCATCGTTTGTGTTTCAAGAATATGATAATTAGTGGAGTTGCAATGTAATTATTCATAAAAGAAAACATTGCAATGTAATTAGAGAGAGTACAAAGTGGTTCTAAAGTGTTGCTATAGTGCTAGCACAACCACTTATTCATGAATTTATTGGCACACGAAAGAAATGAATATTGGGGATTCCTTCCTGCCGATATAAAACATTATCTTAGCCGCATCACGGAAAGGTCTATGGTAGAGTTTGTGAGCATGCAATGCCGTGTTCTCCGTGACTGTGCTAATTTTATGAACTTTGCTTTTTTGGATTAAATGTCACTTTAATGTCGGTATTTATTTTCACAGTATCGTTAGCACGATCCGTGTATTTTTAGTATAAAAGTTTAGCTGTCCCATAGCAACACATGGGAAACCGCATAGTAAGAAAAAAGAGTGGGAAATGGAGAATGTGTGTTGATTACATGGGTCTCAACAAAAGCGTGCCCAAAGAATCTGTTTTCTTTGCTGCACATAAATCAAGTAGTCGACTCGACCTTAGTGTGTGAAACCCTCTGCTTCCTTGATGCGTACTCCGGGTACCATAAGATCACGATGAAGGAGTCCGACCAGCTCGTGACTTCTTTCATCACCCCCTTCGGATCATACTGCTACGTCACAATGCTGTTTGGTATGAAAAACGCTAGGGCTAAGTATCAGCGTTGCATGCTTAAGTGTTTTGGTAACCTCATCGGTCAGACCGTTGAGGCTTACATGGATGACATCATAGTCAAATCCAATTGCACTGACAAGCTTGTGACCAACCTTGAGCTGACCTTCACGAAGTTCCGAGCGAATGACATCAAACTCAATCCCGAAAAATGCATATTCGGGGTTCCAAGTGGTATGTTGCTTGGGTTCATCATTTTCGAGCGCGGCATCGAAGCCAACCTGGAAAAAATCTCGGCCATCACGAGAATGGGCGCGATACAGAACATAAAGGGGGTACAGCGGATCACAGGGTGCCTTGCCGCACTCGGTCGCTTCATCTCGTGCCTCGACGAACGGGGCCTTCCCCTTTATCGGCTCCTCAAGAAAGCCGACCACTTCAAGTGGTCGCTCGAGGCCTAGGAGGCGCTTGACAAGCTCAAGAAGCTTCAGACGAAGGCCTCGATCCTGGTTCTCCTGACCATCGGGGAGCCACTCCTACTCTACATCGCATCCACCATGCAGGAGGTCAGCGCTGCACTAGTGGTGGAGCGAGAGGAGGAGGGGCATGCCCTCAACATACAATGTCCCATGTACTTCATCAGTGAGGTCTTGTCTGACTCCAAGACCCGATACCCCAAGATCCAAAAGCTCCTCTACACCATCCTCATCACCAAGCAAAAATTGCACCACTACTCCATTCGCCGTGTCATTCCCTCCCACCAATATCACCTCCCTTGATTTCCTCTGTGATCTAATTGACATGTCCACCAGGACGAACTCCCTGTCTTCTACTACAGGTACTCTAGAGGATATTTCTATGCCTGCTGCCGACGACCCAGTGCCTCTCCTTGGGTGACTCCCGTGCCACTGAGCATGACTCCCGTGCCACCACTTGAAGCGTGGCCACATCACCAGCATCCGCTCCACTGAGCGTGACTCCCGTGCCACCACGCACGGCACCCGCACCGCCACGCGCGGCCTCATCTTCGAACCCACCTCCTTGGGTGGTCGACTGTGTGCACAGGGTGCCCTCCTACAATGACCCCAGCACCTCCGCTGCCTCCACTGCCGGCTGTGCATCGCATGACGACGCGCTCCCAGCATGGCATCGTGAAGCTGGTTGATCGACTCAACCTCCACATGAGCCACTCCGGTGTCTCCCCTGTCCCTGTGACCTACAGATCAACTCTTGCAGACCCTCATTGGTGTTAGGCTATGCAAGACAAGTATGATGCTCTCATCAGCAACTCCACCTGGACTCTGGTGCCCAAACCAGCGGGTGCCAACATTGTGATAGGTAAATGGATTTTTAAACACAAGTTTCATTTCGATGCTTCATTGGCTCGCTACAAGGCTCATTGGGTTGTCCGTGGTTATTCGCAGCATCCTAGTACTGATTTTGATGAGACCTTGAGTCCGGTTGTCAAGCCGGCTACCATCCGCACTGTTTTGAGCATCGTAGTTTCTCAGTCTTGGCCCATTCATCAGCTGGATGTCAAAAATGCTTTTCTTCGTGGGAATATTTCTGAGATAGTTTATTGTCAACAACCATTTGGATTCATCGACTTTGCTCATCTCGATCATGTGTCGCCTGCAGAAGTCGCTCTATGGTTTGAAACAAGCCCCTTGTGGCTGGTACCAGTGGTTCGCTACTTACATCCACACCTTGGGTTTTGTTCCCTCTCCATCAGATGCATCCCTGTTTGTTCTTTAGCATGGCTCTGCACATGCCTACATCTTGCTCTATGTCGATGATATCATTTTGATAGCTTCCTCCACAGAACTCCTTCAGGACATTATTGGTCGTTTACGTTCGGAGTTCTCTATGACCGATCTCGGTGATCTCAATTTTTTTCTTGGCACTAATGTTTGTCGCTCTGCTGATGGGGTGACTCTCTCCCAACACCAGTATGCCAGTCGCTGATCCTACAGAGTATCGCAGTCTCGCTGGGGCGCTACAATATCTCACTCTGACTTCGACCAGACCTTGCATATGTTGTTCAGCAAGTCTGCCTCTACATGCATGATCCTAGGGAACGGCACCTCCACTTCATCAGACTCATTCTGCACTATGTTCAAGGTACTCTGGACATTGGCCTTCATATTTCAGCTCACTAGCCACTAATGTCTCTCACAGCATACTTGGATACGGATTGGACTGGCTGTCCTGACTCTCGTCACTCCACCTCTGGCTACAACATTTACCTTGGTGATAACCTTGTCTCCTGGTCTTCCAAGCGTCAGACTATGGTTTCCTGCTCAACTGCAGTGGCCGAATATCGAGCGGTAGCACATGCGGTTGCCAAGTGTTGTTGGTTTTGTCAGTTGCTGCAGGATCTTCATCATCCTCTTCATAGTGCCACCATTGTCTACTGCGACAATGTGAGTGCGGTGCACATGATCTCTAACCCGGTCCACCATGGACGCGCAAAACATATTGAGATCGATATTCATTTTGTGCATGAGAAGGTTTCTCTTGGCCAAATACGGGTTCTACATGTCCCCTCGAGGCATCAGTTCGCGGATATCATGACCAAAGGTCTCCCGATTCAGCTCTTCCAGGAGTTTCGGTCCAGCTTTTGCATTCGGGAACCTCATGCCACGATTGCTGGGGGTGTTAACGGAAATACATATGTAATTTGTATGCTTCCTTGTTTATGGGGGTGTTAACGGAAATACATATGTAATTTTTATGCATCCTTGTTTATTAGGATCGATTTTATCTTTCCTTGTTTATTGGGATTATTTCCCATTCTAACCTGTACACCATATATATATATATATATATATATATATATATATATATATATATATATATAAAATGAAACTGAAGGCCGCCGTGATTGTGTTCGCTGTGCTTTCCCAATCTCTTCCACGTTTACACCGGGCACCTGGTAGTTGGCGATGAAGTCGGTGCCCATCTTGTCGTGCCGCGGCGGGTTCATGGAGCTACAGGACGGCGGTGGCAACAAGCCGTAGAAGCCCTATTGGCCGGCATCCAACAGGTGGTTGCCCTCGATGGACTTCACGTGCGCTGCCATCTCCGTGATCCATGTCTGGAAAATGGTGAGGCAGCTAGGTCACGTCGGACTGGCAACGGGGCTCATTCATCAGCTCCCACGCCATGATCGTTGGGTCGTCCTTGTACGCCACGCCGATGAACGTGTTCACCCTCGTCAGAACGGCCTTTTGATCGATTCATGAAAAAAATATGAGCAGATTTGTAAGAAGCGTGCTCGAACACTACTACAAAAACAATATGTGGCAACGCCTCCCTTTCTTCGTAGGGACGGCTCTATATTAAGTCACCCCTACAAATGGTTGTCAAATGAGCCGCCCTTACAAATATATTTGTAGGGGCGGCCGGTGTTATCAGCCACCCCTAAAAATGGTCTGATTTTTAGGGGCGGCTCAATATTGAACAAACCCTACAAATAGACACCGAGTATTAAAAATTAAGCACCAAAATTCAAATTTTGTAAACGACCTCGGATGAAGAAACAACCCAAATGAAAGTTGTAGATCTCGAAAAGTTATGAAACTTTGTAGTTGACAACTTTTTGATTTGAAATCATCTTCTCAAGGAAAACTATGTTTGAATTTCCAAAAATTTGAAATTTTAATTTTTCAAACGACCTGGGATGGAAAAACAGTAAAAATGAAAGTTGTAGATCTTGAAAAATTATGAAACTTTGTAGTTGATAACTTTCTCATTTGAAATCATCTTGCCATGGAAAACTACGTTCGAATTTCTCAAATTTGAAATTCAAATTTTATAAGTGACCTCGGATGGAGGAACAACCAAAACAAAAGTTGTAAATCTCGAAAAATTCTGAAACTTTGTAGTCGACAACTTTTTTATTTGAAATCATCTTGTCAAGGAAAATTATATTTGAATTTTATAAATTTGAAATTTTAATTTTTTAAACGACCTCGGATGGACAAACAATAAAATAAAAGTTGTAGATCTTGAAAAGTTATGAAACTTTATAATTGATAACTTTCTCATTTGAAATCATCTTGTCATGGAAAACTACATTCAAATTTCTCAAATTTGAAATTCAAATTTTATAAGTGACCATGAATGGAGAAACTACCAAAATGAAAGTTGTAGATCTTGAAAAGTTATAAAACTTTGAAGTTGATAACTTTTTCATTTGAATTAGTTTATGGCCTCAAACAATCAATTTATGCTCAGTTTTGTATAATATATAGGGAATCAAAATGGATTGTAGACACAAGTGATCATGAGGTGCAGTGTTAGAGGAGTTTGTGCGTGAGGGAGAGGTTGTGGGTTTGAATCCCGGCAGACACAAAGTGTGCAGAAATCGTGAAAAAATGCTGCAACCATAGAGTGGGTGTGTGGCTGCTGGTGGGGACCTCCTCGGATTAAAAAAATTTGCTATTTTTTTTGCCCCTTTTTCATGATTTCTAGAAATTGATTTGTAGGGGCGGCTTAATATACAGCCGTCCCTACAAATCGATTTGTAGGGGCGGCTGATAACACCAACCGCCTCTACAAATCAATTTGTAGAGGTGGTCTGGGAACCGCCCCTACAAATACATGATTTGTAGAAGCGCTTGGGTAGGGGCGGCTAGGCAAACCGCCCCTACAAATCCTCTACAGCCGCCCCTATAAATACTATTTCACGTAGTATACAGTGCTAATACTAGTAGGTAAAGAGCGCTTAGTTGAAGTAAAGAAACACTGAGTTGGTTTTTTATGAAACCGTGCAAACTACTATGGGTTTTAATGAAACAAATTCACTATGGTTCACAGCACTCTCCCTCTCACTCTCTCTGTCTCTCTTTCTCACCTTTATATGGTTCTTGTAGGAGCCCTTGATAACAGGGTTAGTGAAGAATCCATCGTCAGATGGAATGTTCTGCCCCTGGTTCTTCGCCCAATCCACGTACTGCTTCCTCCCTCCATAGTCATGATAATAGTTCATAAGGCTCAGAATCATCTTAATCACATGCTTCCTAGCCTCAGATAGCACGACATCCAACCCGTGAATGAACAGCAGAGACAGAGAGAGAAAATGGCAATGCATGCATGTGCATCAATATCTCAAGAAACTTGGTCGTCGTTAGCAGAAGGGAAAGACGAGCTTGTATTATTCTATTAGCAATATAATATTATTTTGTTCCCGGTCAAACTTCTCAACTTTTGACTATGTTTATACAAAAACATATTAACATTTATAATATCTTTAAATGCACAGCCCAAATATTTTTTTGCCTGTAGCAGCCTGTGCAGCACCTCCGGCTCCGGCAGATTTACACAAAGAACGGGGAGGAGCCGGAGGAGCCACGGATTTGTTGCTTGGGCACCTCCTCCACATTATCCAGAGCCGGCGCCGCCGAAACCTGGCCCTCCAAACAGGCCATTAGTGTGTGTTTGGCATGTTCCTACTCCAACGTCTTCACCACTTGAGTCCGAGCCAGAGCCGGAGCCATAGCAGAAGGCTCAAAAGTATCTTCTACTCCATATACAAAAATGGTTCTAACTCCTCGTATCTACATGAAAAAATTGCTCATCTTCAGGTATTTGATATATTTTCTCGTGCAACTCCGTTGAAACTATTCCCGGAGTCACACCAGGTCATGAAACATGTTATAAACTACAAATTGGAAGCACCCGTAGTTAGGGATGGTTACGGATCGAATTCGGACGGATATAGATTCAGATACCACTATTTACCGTATTTTAATTTAAATTCGAATACTTATATTGTCGGATACTAAAGCCAAATGGATATCTCGAATTACATTAGGATATCCACTTGATTTTGAAGATAACATGTATATCTATTTGCTTATCAATAGTTTTATGTATAATAAAATCATTATGAATGATGGAATTTAATTTGTAACTATATAACATTGTGGATAAAGATAACTGCCAAACAATAAAATATTTCCATCAATATTTCAATAATTAAATATATAAAATATAAGAAAATAATAGATAGTATATACTAATTACTAAATTCAAATAAATAAAAATAAATCTAGAAGTATGTAAATAAAATAAAATACTAGTCAATATTATTATCCACGTTAAAATTAGTTAACTTTAGATTTATATATCGTTAATAATATTTTGTTGTAGCTACAGCCGCCTGGTGTATATGTAGTCTATCTCTAATGTTTTGTTGCATCTGCTTGCTGCATGCTAACGGCCTCATTAATCTCCATGCAGCCATATAACCCCCCCCCGCAGGCATGGAATCGATCACTCACTCATACTGATCCAGCAAGTGACTGCTGCTCGCTTGCTAACAACCATGGTGCGTGAACGCCACCGCAGCTGAGTTACTCGCGCGTCGCGTCCAGTGCGACAAGCGGAGGGCAGCATGGATCATCTCAAAAAGGCGCGTGGCGGGGGGGGCACGCCACGCTGGTCCTACTACTCTCTGGCGGCGACAGGTTCGTGGTGCGGGTCCTTTGATCCCAACTTGACAGCGCCTTCTTCACCGACGCCATGGCCAGCTCCTCCGCCAAGCCCACTGATGGTCGGTAACACCTCCCCTCTCTCCTCTCTCTAGTTCATGTTCTAGGACGGATCTATGTGTTCTATCTTAAATAGAAAGGTTTCACCCGCTAGATCTACTCCTATAGTTTTGACAAAGCCCTACTCAAAAGATGAAGCAACCCCTAACCGAACGCTCTCTTTGTTTGTTATGTGTCATCTTTAATTCTCACGGCCACTTGCAACACTGTTTCTGCAGTGTTGTTGAAGATTGTCATGTTCATGTCTTTTCAAAGGTTCCAGAAGGTGTATATCACCGTATCATTGAACTGTCTTCGCTCCGCTATAGGCGCTTTGCTCGTGGCCTCCTCCCACCAAGCTATGATCTGCAGGGGTCAGTTTGTTGTTGCCCACTAGTCCATCGAAGCCAGCGCCGTCTCTCTTGTTCAGAGAAAAATAAAGGGTTTGTCCTCTCCAAATAAATCAATTATTCTTTAGCTTTCCCCATTTAAATTGTCATTGCATGAAGTAGTGGCAGTACATGTCTTTAGTTTGATGGATACAAAATCAATATATAATTCCAAATAAATAATTACACAAATGCCAAATGGAACCACAGTAGTGCTCTCTAACGTCCCTGAATAGGCAGGCCAGCAGGTGGCGATCGTAGTCCATGGTCGTATACTGTACCACGTGGACCAGTCGGCATTGCACGGGCCGACAGGACGGCATTGCACGGGCCGACAGGACCTATCGGCGCACCAGAAGCCGATAGGATTTCCCCGGTCTGGGAGCCCGGCGGGGTACCATATCTTAAAATTTTTATATAACAGCTTCTAGATTTGCAATTATTCATAAAAAATATTATTTAAAAAAACTATTTCTCTCTCATTGAATATCCAAATATAGCTATCCTCTGTTATGAAATTCTCTCTCTGGCTAAAGATGGACAACGAGTTTAGCTCCCTCAAGCGTGGAAAATGATTTTCTTTTTCAAATGATTTTCTTATGATGGTTTAGAGAATAAGTTTTAGAAAGACTTTTTGAGATGCTCTTAATCTACTGATCAAAGCAACCTTCTCGCTAGCTCCTTTTCCCTTCTCATATATAACCAAAACAAAAGTTGTAAATCTCGAAAAATTCTGAAACTTTGTAGTCGACAACTTTTTTATTTGAAATCATCTTGTCAAGGAAAATTATATTTGAATTTTCATAAATTTGAAATTTTAATTTTTTAAACGACCTCGGATGGACAAACAATAAAATAAAAGTTGTAGATCTTGAAAAGTTATGAAACTTTATAATTGATAACTTTCTCATTTGAAATCATCTTGTCATGGAAAACTACATTCAAATTTCTCAAATTTGAAATTCAAATGTTATAAGTGACCATGGATGGAGAAACTACCAAAATGAAAGTTGTAGATCTCGAAAAGTTATAAAACTTTGAAGTTGATAACTTTTTCATTTGAATTAGTTTAGGGTCTCAAACAATCAATTTATGCTCAGTTTTGTATAATATATAGGGAATCAAAATGGATTGTAGACACAAGTGATCATGAGGTGCAGTGTTAGAGGAGTTTGTGCGTGAGGGAGAGGTTGTGGGTTTGAATCCCGGCAGACACAAAGTGTGCAGAAATCGTGAAAAAATGCTGCAACCATAGAGTGGGTGTGTGGCTGCTGGTGGGGACCTCCTCGGATTAAAAAAATTTGCTATTTTTTTTGCCCCTTTTTCATGATTTCTAGAAATTGATTTGTAGGGGCGGCTTAATATACAGCCGTCCCTACAAATCGATTTGTAGGGGCGGCTGATAACACCAACCGCCTCTACAAATCAATTTGTAGAGGTGGTCTGGGAACCGCCCCTACAAATACATGATTTGTAGAAGCGCTTGGGTAGGGGCGGCTAGGCAAACCGCCCCTACAAATCCTCTACAGCCGCCCCTACAAATACTATTTCACGTAGTATACAGTGCTAATACTAGTAGGTAAAGAGCGCTTAGTTGAAGTAAAGAAACACTGAGTTGGTTTTTTATGAAACCGTGCAAACTACTATGGGTTTTAATGAAACAAATTCACTATGGTTCACAGCACTCTCCCTCTCACTCTCTCTGTCTCTCTTTCTGACCTTTATATGGTTCTTGTAGGAGCCCTTGATAACAGGGTTAGTGAAGAATCCATCGTCAGATGGAATGTTCTGCCCCTGGTTCTTCGCCCAATCCACGTACTGCTTCCTCCCTCCATAGTCATGATAATAGTTCATAAGGCTCAGAATCATCTTAATCACATGCTTCCTAGCCTCAGATAGCACGACATCCAACCCGTGAATGAACAGCAGAGACAGAGAGAGAAAATGGCAATGCATGCATGTGCATCAATATCTCAAGAAACTTGGTCGTCGTTAGCAGAAGGGAAAGACGAGCTTGTATTATTCTATTAGCAATATAATATTATTTTGTTCCCGGTCAAACTTCTCAACTTTTGACTATGTTTATACAAAAACATATTAACATTTATAATATCTTTAAATGCACAGCCCAAATATTTTTTTGCCTGTAGCAGCCTGTGCAGCACCTCCGGCTCCGGCAGATTTACACAAAGAACGGGGAGGAGCCGGAGGAGCCACGGATTTGTTGCTCGGGCACCTCCTCCACATTATCCAGAGCGGCGCCGCGCTTGAAACCTGGCCCTCCAAACAGGCCATTAGTGTGTGTTTGGCATGTTCCTACTCCAACGTCTTCACCACTTGAGTCCGAGCAGAGCCGGAGCCATAGCAGAAGGCTCAAAAGTATCTTCTACTCCATATACAAAAATGGTTCTAACTCCTCGTATGTACATGAAAAAATTGCTCATCTTGGTATTTGATATATTTTCTCGTGCAACTCCGTTGAAACTATTCCCGAGTCACACCAGGTCATGAAACATGTTATAAACTACAAATTGGAAGCACCGTAGTTAGGGATGGTTACGGATCGAATTCGGACGGATATAGATTCAGATACCACTATTTACCGTATTTTAATTTAAATTCGAATACTTATATTGTCGGATACTAAAGCCAAATGGATATCTCGAATTACATTAGGATATCCACTTGATTTTGAAGATAACATGTATATCTATTTGCTTATCAATAGTTTTATGTATAATAAAATCATTATGAATGATGGAATTTAATTTGTAACTATATAACATTGTGGATAAAGATAACTGCCAAACAATAAAATATTTCCATCAATATTTCAATAATTAAATATATAAAATATAAGAAAATAATAGATAGTATATACTAATTACTAAATTCAAATAAATAAAATAAATCTAGAAGTATGTAAATAAAATAAAATACTAGTCAATATTATTATCCACGTTAAAATTAGTTAACTTTAGATTTATATATCGTTAATAATATTTTGTTGTAGCTACAGCCGCCTGGTGTATATGTAGTCTATCTCTAATGTTTTGTTGCATCTGCTTGCTGCATGCTAACGGCCTCATTAATCTCCATGCAGCCATATAACCCTTCCCCCCGCAGGCATGGAATCGATCACTCACTCATCTTGATCCAGCAAGTGACTG